AATTCAACATATTACATAACATATTTATTAAAAATTTATATTATTTGTTGATACAAAATTAAAAGTAAACAAATTTAAAGATATAAAGTCATACATACAGCATATAAGAACCAATAAAATTTGATGTATTTATATTATATTTTAATAATTAAATCGGATGAATGTTGAAAAATATGTTAAACTAGAAGGGTATATAAATAATTTTTCTTTTATTTTCTATTTTCTCCATAACATTCTTTCAGTTTCCATAATTAATAATACAGGGAAAAAAATTTTAATTCAGCAAGCTGTCAATGGCAATAAAATCTGAACATGTTTGTGGAATCACTAAAGTACAGACAAGATGCCTTTTAATCCCTATGTACCCAAATTTTCTTACCCTTATTGCCTTTTTTTTTTTTTTTTCAAAAATTCAATTTAGTAGGATTTAATTCTAATTCTCAATTCCATTCTCCTCTATAAAAACATAATTTTCTTCTCTTGTTCTCATCAATTTTCCTCCTAGCCAAACACCAACCACCCAATCATCATCACCACGCAAGAAGAAATGAACCCTGATTCCTTCAAGTGCAGCCGGTGTTCCAAAGTTTTTCCTACTTGTTATCACCTCTACGCCCACTTGCATGTCCATCGATTTCGTGATAATGGTGGCGCACCACCACCTCCTCCTCAATTTTTCAATCGTCTCCCTTATGTTGATAGAGACGACGAAGTTAATCCGCAGTCTCTGACACTGTCAATTGGGAGATCCAAAGTCATTGATCATGATACATTGGGTTTAACCATGGGGGAGATCCTTTGGAGGCAATACAGGACCTGTCGCTACCATCCTTACTTGAAACCGACTAACAAGGGCAAGGAGCCTCTATATGTTGAGACTGTGGATGATAATTTTTTGACATTGGATCTACTAAGAGAATGGACGCCAATGAGAGGTTTTGATGTGCATGATTATGACTCATGGAGTTCCTCTTCAAGCCCTATTTCTAATGCTTCAACTAGTTGTGAAATTGATCTGATAAGTCTAGATGGAGGGGACAAGTTGGATCTGGATTTGAAGCTAGGGTTTTGATAATTTAGTTTCTCTTTTTTACGCATGTGCTTGTTTGTTAGACTTATGTTGTTTATGGTGTAGTTGTGATTTTGGGTCTATGTTGATTAAGTCAACCCTTTTTCAGATGAACAATATGGAGGAATTGCAGTACCCAAAACTCAACCATTGTGATAATCAGTCTAGGAGTGGTGTTAATTTTCATGTGTGGCTTTGCTTGTAGTAGCGTGATGTGTGTTGGTAACTTTAAATCTTATCAAAATGTAGCGTCTTTGTTTCATAATTAAATAATGGAGCGCTTAATTTGTCTGAAATGCTTTTGGTTTCCCGTTCTCCTGCAGATCTTTTTATTATGGTAATTGATGATCCCATAATATAGATTAATCATATGCAAATTATCCAATATTATACAGAGATGTATGGATAAAAAGGAAATGATCGTTATTCGTTAGTTGTTAATTGTTAAGCGTTAGTTGTTATTCGTTATTCGTTGATCAATAAAAGAAAAATAAAAAATATTGTCTAAGATCTTCATTGGTCAAAAAGAAATTCATCTTAAATGCTTGTTGATCTACATATATATCTTTAAAATCCTTAGTAAATTGATTATCTAAGGTACCAATTAATGACTAAGAATAAGTTCAACCTTTTTGTTATTGATTAAGAAATTTTGGTTCTCTTAAAATATAAAGCAATTCAAAATCTAAAATTCAAAGAATAAGTTGCCAATGTATGTATGTTCTTATAACTAGTATACAGGCCTTACTTACAATTACATAAGGACGAATGAATCCAAAGATAAATTTTAATCAAACCAAACATGTTGTTGTTGGTAATTAACATCTTCAATGAAAAATCTTTAAAAAAAGAAAAAAGAAAAAAGAATATGGTCTAAATCTAAGATCTTTGTTTCAATTCAAATCTAATAAGATCTTCAGCTTGCTTGACCTGAACCTAAATAGTTAGCTATTTGAAAATTAACTCGATTATGGATATTTGGTATAAAAAAATGGGCTATGGTTTATGGCGACCATTAATTTGTTAAAACCACTAAAAATTATTAAAATTTTATGTTAATTTGATTGTTAAAAATAATTTATAATTGATAAGATAATTAATATTTATTATTTAACATATTGAAATCAGTTTGTAAATAGCTATTTTCAAATATTATAACTAATTATTTAAGAAAAAAATTATAAATTAATAAAATTACAATTAAATTGGTGTCTTTAAGGCTTAATTTAACAAATTATGTATTAATTATTACTTCTTCTTCTTTTTTTTTCTCATTTTAGTCCAGTATCTTTATTTTCTTGCAAACTCATCTATTCACTTTTAAAATTGTTTCATTTTTGTCTATCATACACAACTTTGTTAATTCTATTAATTGGAATTCCACCTGTGCTGCCACCTGCTGCTATGTAAGCAGTCAAATGGCAAGAAAATTTTCCCACCTCATCGTTTTTCCTTTAAAATTTTTTGGCCACCATTTTCCTTTAATTAAAACAAAACCAATTATTGCAAAAATAATAAAGATTTTTTTAATCTGTACCCTTAAGGCACATATTAAGGATATTTTTTTTATTATAAATGTATATAAAAAAATGTAAAAGTTGATATTGATTTTAGTGTCAAT